GCATATCCCTTAATACCTTTGCTTATTAAAAATATATCTACCTCCGATTTGAAATTAACAACTCATCCAGAATCCACTGCCATTTGTGATAGTGCATTCCAAACATTTACATTTTATGTCAAATTCATTCTGTCCTGAGGACATTCTCTGAACTTCAAATACAAAGGTTAGGATTTTCCAATGCCCTTGAGGGCCAAAAAAAAATTTGGCTGCGCTTTGAACACAGGGGCTGCAATTTTGTGCTCCTAAATGTGGCGAGTTTAGAGGCAGGAGGAGTATTAATATGTAAGGTTGTGGCATGCCCAAACCCCACCACCTTTTCATTTCCATCAGCAAGGTCTTGGGTGGAAAGGCCTATGACCAACCGTCCCATGGTTTCTTGATCAAAGGGAGTCAGTGCCTGACTGATGGAGTGGATTTGGCCATGTATGTTGCTGGCCCATTCATGGCAATTACATTTGAGTAGTGCTTCATATGAACGAAACAGACATGGAGTGGGATTGGAAAGCCCATGGAATCAACTTACTAGAAATTTGTTGAAGAGACCATATTGATTGATTGACTTTATTGTCACGTGTACCAAAAAACAGTGAAAAGCTTTGTTTATGAGCGGTATAGGCAGATCACAGCAAGCAAAGGAGGTACAGTTCAAAAAGATGTAGAGGCAACAGGTTACATTGCAGGTTACATTATTTGAGGATACAGTCCATTCAACAGTCTGATAATGGCCGGAAAGAAGCTGTTCCTGAACCTGCTTGTGGGTGTGTTCAGGCTTCTGTATCTTCTGCCCGACGGAAGAGGTTGTAAGAAGTTATTACCGAGGTGCAATGGGACTTTGGTGATGTTCGCCGCCTTTCCACAGCAGTGAGCTGTGCCATTGGAGTCCATGGATGGAAGGTTGGATTCCGTGATTGTCTGGACTGTGCACACCACCTTCTGTAATTTCTTACAGTCTTGGGCAGAGCAGTTGCCATACCAGGCCATGATGCACCAGGACAGTATGCTTTGTTGTGCCTTCTTGACTGTCGCATTTGCATGGGAAGCCCAGGCCAGGTTGTTGGTTATCATCACTCCGAGGAACTTGACACTCTTCACTCTCTCAACCTCAGTTCCATTGATGTAAAAGGGGGCGTGTCTCCTCCTTTCTCTCCGACATCGATGATCAGTTCTTTAGTTTTGTTGACGTTGAGGGACAGATTGTTAATATATTAACCTCTAAGTGTCTGTCAAAGAGGCAACCTAAAAAATAATGCAGTGAAAATGTTAATATTTGGAAGTAATCAACCATAAGGCAAAAATGGACTAAAACTATTTATATCAGAGGCTAGAAATTCTGCAGCAAGTAACTCACCTCCTGACTCCCCAAAGTCTGTCCACCATCTACAAGATACAATTCAGGAGTGTGATGGAATACTTCCCACTTTGCTGGATGGGTGCAGCTCCAACAATGCTCAAGAAGCCTGACACTGTCCAGGACAAAGCAGCCCATTTGATTGATACCACATCTTCAAACATTCTTACCTTCCAAGACCAACATTCAGTCGTATCAGTGTGGCCCACCTTCAAGATGAACTGCAAAAATTCACCAAAACTCCTCAGGCAACAGTTTCCATCCCTCAAACTTTGCCATTTAGAAGGACAAGAGCAACACCCAGTTCCCCTCCAACCCACTAACCATCCTGACTTGGAAACATATCGCTGTCCCTTTGTTGTTGCTGTGTTAAAATCCTGCAAGTCCCTTTCTAACAGCAGCTCACCAGCACCTTCTCGATGATAATTCAAGATGGGCAAGAAATGTGGGCCCAGCCAATGACACTGACATTCCATTAACGAATTAAGAAAAACTACAGGCCAGCTTTCAGCAATGCAGGCTATCTTTAAGTGATGTTATCGCCAATTATGGTATTTGCTGTCTGCTGATGATTCTGGCCAAGTCGCTGGAGTCACTAGAATGAGCAGACACCACGATAGCCCAACAGGAAAAGTAGGGTTGATAAAGGTCAAAAATCACATGACACCAGATTATAGTCCAACAGGTTTATTTGAAAACACTAGCTTTCTAAGCTCTGCTCCTTCCTCAGGTCCACACTATACCTCAGGAAGGAGCAGCGCTCAGAAAGCTAGTGTTTTCAAGTATACCTGTTAGAATATAACCTAGTGTTGTGTGATTTTTAACCTTGTCCACCTCAGTCCAACACGGCACCTCCACATCAGGGTAGATAAAGATAAACTGATGGGGGATTCTAGACCTAGGGGCATAGAGGGCTAGGCCGTTTTGGAGCTATGTTTGGATGCATTTCTACACAAAAAGAGTGGGAAATGTTTGGATCTGTCTTTCACAAACAGCAATAGACTCTGGATCAATTGTTAATTTTAGATTTGAGACAGAAAAATTTTTGTTAGGTAAAGGTATAAAGGGATATGGCCAAAAGCAGGTGTATGGAGTTAGGCCACAGATCATTGAATCTCATTGAATGGCGGAACAGGCTTGAGGGCTGAACAGCCTGCTTCTGTTCCTATGTTCCTAACATTGGTATGCTGCTTCCAATCTAATCAATGGGCATAGGGTATTGACATTTCATAATCCCATGCCTGTTTTGAAGGGTTCTCACATTTAATCATGCAACATCTTTGTTCACCCCATCTGTAGAGGAAGTGTAAGAAGTGTGTTAAAGGTCCTGGTGAGAATTCACAGCCTGAATTAGCACTGGGTCAAAATCCTGGAAACCCCTCCCTAATGTCATTGTGGGTGTCCCTGCACCAAATAACTGCAAGGGTTCAAGAAGGCAGCTCACTAACACTTTCTCCATGGCAACTAGGGATGAGCAATAAATGTAGCAAAGCCCACTTCACATTAATGATTTTTTAAAAAATTAAGCGTGCAGATGTTGCTTTGAAAGCTGACTTTATTATCTCCTGAAAGATTTCTGATTGGACTGCATGGAAAGTAATACCAACCTTTCCCAAGGTGCTGTTTAAGAAATTGGTGTTGAAGAGAAAAACTTTTTGTGAGACTTTTGAATAAAAGGCAGTAATAAAGATACCAACTGAATCAGAGCATAACATGGAGCAACTGCAATGACTTAAAATGATGACTTCAGGGTGGATTTTTAATAGAACAATTTAGCAACTTCACATTGCAGTTGTTTATGGGATTTAGACAGCACTTCATATGTCAGGAACAAAAGCCAAAATAAATACCTACTATTATCAATTACTTTCATAGAACATAGAACAGTACAGCAGAGTACGGGCCCTTCGGCCCACAATGTTATGCCAACCTATTATCCTACTCTAAGATCAAACTACCCTGCATACCCTACATTTTACTATCATCCATGTGCCTATCCAAGAGTTGCTTAAATGTCCCAAATGTATCTGACTCCACTACCACTGCTGGCAGCGCATTCCACACACCCACCACTCTCTGTGTGAAGAACCTACCTCTGACATCTTACCTATACCTTCCTCCAATCACCTTAAAATTATGCCCCCTCGTAATAGCCATTTCCGCCTTGGGAAAAAGTCTCTGGCTATCCACTCTATCTGTGCCTCTCATCATCTTGTACACCTCTATCGAGTCACCTCTCATTCTTCTTCGATCCAGTGAGAAAAGCCCTAGCTCCCTCAACCTTACCTCATAAGACCTGCCCTCCAGTCCAGGCAGCATCCTGCTAAATCTCCTCTGCGCCCTCTCTAAAGCTTCCACATCCTTCCTATAATGAGGCAACCAGAACTGAACACAATATTCCAAGTGTGGTCAAACCAGGGTTTTATAGAGCTGCAGTATAACCTCGTGGCTCTTAAACTCAATTCCCCTGCCATGTCCTTCACATGTCTTTTTTTTTGTTGCTCTTCCCTCCTTTATCTATCCAGAAAGATTCAGACACTTGTAATTCTTAAATAGTCATTCTTCATATGCTAGCTTAGATAGTGAAGGGGGTATTTAGTAGACATGGTCCTTACCTGTTGGCTGGAGGCTCAAGGTTGTCTCTTTTCAGGAAGGCTCACTTTGGAGGTGCTAATCAGGCATTTAACTGGCCATGGATTGGGAGGGGCATTCACTGGGTTATCGACCCAAGGTCAGAAGTCCCACCCACTAAGAGCTGCTGGCCAATCTGAGGCAACAAGAGCATAGCCGTGGTTCTCAACAGGCTCCCTATTCCATGCTAGCGCCGTTGATTAGGCACTGAATACTTCTCTGTTTGGATTCCCCTCCTGTAGAAACCCATAAGCAAACACACCAGAGCTTGCCTTTCAGGCTTCCTGCCTGGAGAGTCCCCATCTGCCTCGGTGCAGCGGTAGGAAGAGGTCTTTAATTGGACAATCATTGCTTCTTAAATACCTCGATTAGAGTGGGATGGGAAGGCTAACAATGTGTCTACCTACCAAACACCTTAGTAGGACAATGGCAAGAAAGCAATGTGACTGCCACCCACTCAACTTATACAGTCCATGTAGGAGGATAGTAAATTCCATCCTGAATATTGGAAAACTATCTATCTAAGGGCAGGAATAGTAGAATTGCAACTGACTGTGTTCCTTGTTGTTTCCACAGGTACTTTCCAGTCAAGGGCAGGAATAGATGAATTACAACTGACAGTGTGCGTTGTTGTTCCCTTGGGTACTTTCCAGTCAAAGTTTCTCGATAACAGTTAGAAGCAAGAAGTCTGGATAACTTAGCTTTTTGTTCTTTGAATACTAGAAGCAGTTTCAACACAAAGTTATTGCTTTCCAAAATCACAAAAAGCACCACAGACCAGTAGCGCTCTCTATAATTTTATACTCAGTTATGGTCATTCCAATTTTTCATTATGCACACATAACACACAACTAATTTACTACTGAATTATTTAATAAAGTCATTGATAGTGAGTCTTATTATTTATCATGGTCTCAAACAAGCATCCTCCGATTTAAATAGCTGTGCTGAGCTGGGTGACTGTTCTAAAACAAAATGCATTTTAAATGTTCATTTGAATCCTTAACATAATCGTCAGATACCTGACGAATGGACTAGCAGCTGTAGAAAGGTTTCCCATCAGCTTTAAAACCCAGTTCTCAGGGAACTGCTTTCACCACGTGGTGCTGGGTGTCTATTACAATGGTCGCTATGGAACACTAGGCATGAGCAGGAGAGAGGACTTGATGGACAAGCCGTTGACCTTTCGAACTCTCAGTGACCTGTTTTTTGAATTTGATGACTCTTACAGAAAGTACCTGCACACTGTGAAAAAGGTGAAGATTGGCTTGTATGTATGCCATGATCCACACAGCTTCCAGCAGATTGAATGGAAGCATTTGGTTTTAAACACGGGAAAGATGAGCAGAGAAGAGACGCGGAAAGAGTTGGAAAAGCATGCTCGGGACATGAGAATGAAGGTAATTGCAATTCAGTCATCATGGTGTGAAATCTTGTTCCCTCTGTCCTGGCAGGTTTGGTGACCAAGAATCACCCCTTGTTGCTGACTCCCCATGTCTCCATGTTGTGGTCCTCCTCCTGCCATCACTCACCTCTAGCCAGCAATCCAGACAATCCTGGGCCGAATGTGGGTGTCACCCCAGTGGCACTCAATACAGTTGCCAGCCTTTGAAAAGCTGACAGCTCTTGTCATGCATGACTCGTGCCCGCTTGGGTCTTTTATCCTGGGGGAGAAGACGCCACCTGCTGGCCTGTCAATCAGCTGAGCGGAACGAGGTGTGGCTCCCTCTCAGGGGGAGGAGACACCAGGTTCTCACTGGCTCACCAAGACCTCCATGGCCTCCACAAGATTCTGTCCATGGTTTCCTTTTCTCTTTATATATGGTTCACTTTGGGCAAATATTGGGTCAAAAATCAGGAGACTGTAGCTTGACTTTTGACATTTGTGTTCACAATGGTGGAAATTCATCCAAGGCCTTAATAAGCTCAGGAACTAAAAGTTTCTGTTGGACACAAATCTAAGTGGAAAATTGATTGATTTCTTTGAAAAGGCCAAAGTTGAATTTGTGGGCAAACTGGAAATATAGTCACTGTGAGAACCAATATCTCTGCACAGAACTAGACTAATTCTTGTTCTAATAAGAAGTGTCAAACATTTTGGAGATTATGAACAATGATGATTTTGAGTTTAACGGAATCTATATTCTATTTTTGATTTTCTATGTTGTTACATTTTAATGACAGTGGAACAATGTAACAATAGACTATAGCTATATATTTATAACAGTGCAGAGAGACCTGAAGTCCTTGGGGAAACAATACCTAAAAGGATGCAAGATTCAAGATGAATGGGGCAGTTATTATTGATTGTGAAAGACCAAATTGCCCGAGGGAATGTCTGTCACTAAGGAAACTTGCAAATGGACTGACTTGTCCAGATGATTTCACTGTAATAAAACATGAGTATTCTAAACTTTTGTCCAATTTAAGTGCATCCAGATGTTTAAAATTGCTTTTTAAAAGTAATATAAAATGGTTAAGAATAATTGATTTATATTATATGATACAGGAAAATGGAAAAGACATTTTATAAACAATTTTTAAATCCAAGTGTTGAACTGTTGTGTTTACCTTGTGAAAGTTTGCATTCACCCTCCCTTAAATACTTTCACATATTCTGCAGGATTTCACAATCTCATTTGCTTCTTAAAGAATTCAACTGTCTTATTTTCCATTAAAATAGAGTCATAGATTTTGACAGTATGGAAAGAGGTCCTTCGGCCCATTGTGCCCACAAGAGCTATCAAGCACCTAGCTATTCTAATCACAGTTTCCAGCACTTGGCCTATAGCCTTGTGTGCCATGGTGTTTCGAGTGCCCACCTAAATACTTCGTGTTCCTTACCTTAAAACTCTAGCCCTCAGTATTAACCACTTTTCGAAGGGAAAAAGTCTCACAGCTATTTTTATGTGACATATATATACTTTCCTGCACTAACGCCCTCAGCACTGCAAAATTATAGTATCATTAACAATATGATGTAGCATTGATGGTGCTTGTTGAACTTGTAATCTTGTAATTTTGCTAGAAGTGCAGCTTTGACATTTAACTTGGTATACAGTTGTGAGTCACTCAAAGGTAAAATTCAATTGTGTCAGAAAAAGATACAAATAGTTCTGAACTGAAGTTGAAGCAAATGCTTACTTTGTGATTTTTACCAATGGCTTTTGCTAAGGCATTTGGTCAGTTGGTGTTAAAACTGTATATTATTGTAAATTGTAATACAATTTCAGATTAGGGTAGGATATGCAGGGTAGTTTGATTTTTGAGTAGGATAATAGGTCAGCACAACATCGTGGGCCGAAGGGCTTGTACTGTGCTGTACTGTTCTATGTTCGATGTTCTATTAGATAGGTGCCAATTTCAATCAATGTGTTGAACTAACTAATTAATTTCAAGACATTACAATGAACCTTCTCATCCCTAGGCCAGAGAAAACTTAATATTCTTCTAAGTTTTCTACAAAGCACTCTACCAGTTTTGTACCAGAGTATCTGCGCCTGAGTAGAAAGGCTTGCTACATAGCTCATGTTTCTTAACTCAAAGTAATTTAATTCATACTAAATTATAGTTCAGTTTTTTTTTATGGTAGTCTCCTTATTTCACTTCAAAATATATGGCACCTATGCTACTAAAAATGAATTTGAACCATTAGTAGACTATATAACCCTTGCTCCCTCACTATCTGTTTTAGCACAATACAATCCTGAACTCCATCACTGTGCTTCCCTACAGTGATACTTAAGCCTTTCAGTAAATGCTTACGTTTTTGCTTCCTATTAACGCTGAGACCCTTCCAGAATTTATCTTTCCTCATCAATGGAAGAATCCTTTGCTACAGTGAATCGTCCCTCAACAAAGAAATAATTACATAAGGACATCAAGTTCAGCCTTCAAGGCATATTTTCAGTGGCCATATGTCAGTCTCATAATGTAGCAAAATTAGGGACTGCATTATCAAATTGCACTGGAGTATATGAGTGAGGAGAGAAAATTGTTATGCCATAAGATCTTCATTTGGGGAAGTGAACGTTAACAGGCTTAATTAAACATACCTCTATATAGGGGATGGTGAGGAGGGGGGATATCTTCTGGAACCCTACAGACTTGGGATCCAATTCCATGTGATCCGATGTCAATATGACACACCACACAGCTCCTTATACAAATACTCAATTACTAATCTTAGACTAAAGGTATATTTGACCCTTTACTCTGCAGTTCATCCAAGGATCTCATCTTCTTTGCTACTGATAATTGAATGTTTGGATCACTGTTGCGTAAAGAAATAAGTTTCTATGACTCAACATCTTTTTGTAAATGAGCTGAGAGTGTTTATTGTTGACAAATCAAACCTGTCTTTAAAAGTTCTTTTGTCAATTGAAACCGATATGAAACCATCGTACAAACAGTAGCCAAGCTATCAAAGGCAGTAGTCATTCTTTGAGTATTAATATGACTCTGATTATATTATTTCTCATTTGGAACTAGATTATAAAGACCTCAGGTTCCCAGTCTCCAGTTAAAGACCGACAACGGGAAAAATCATTATCACCATGCCATCGGCAGATGAGCCCTCAGAGACGACTTAAGCGAAGAGATAAATCGTAAGTGGTTTGCTTTTGGGTAATGTATCCCAGTTGAAACAAACCAATGTTAGTAGTGGAATTACACATTCCCTCACATTGTTGCATATCAACATAAATTGTTCTGTGGTTCCATTTTTTTACAGGCATTGTAGAGGACAGCAGCATTTAGAAGCTTTTTTGTTTGCCCTTATCTCACCAAATTCCAATACTTAATTTGGTCCAGAGGTTATAATATAGGTATACATGTGAATGCACTCATGTTATGGTGTGGTGTTAGATTCATAATTATTATTCATATTATTTTTCTCCTATTTCCTGTATTGCACCATAATGTCATAAAGTCTGGCAGGCAATAATCTTTCTACTCAACGTGAAAACGTAACTCACTACCTAGGTCAGTTCTCAGTGTATGGCACCAGATAGGTAATAGCTTAGACAATGGAGATTTTATTTAATGGCAATGTTACCTGAAATGACCGTTAACAGGTTGATGCAGCAAAAAGCCAGTGCCTAGAGCGCGAGTAGAATTGGTGGTTGCCAGTGTGAAATCATGAGATGATTGTCTTCACAATCACTGCCTTCTTTCTCTTCCTGCGTATTCTGAGTAGATTATAATTCTTAGTTATCTGAAAGGGTACTGTCAACTTTAATGGATTCAGTTCCTGCAGTGACAAGAGACTCAGCATTTGCCCTTTCTCTTCATGCCCAACATTAGCTTGTCCAGGAGGATTATAACATGTAGGTGCACCCATTCCCTCCTGTTGGTGCTTACAACCTCCTGTTGTGCACATTACTGCAAGAAGGAACGAAGTGTGTCAGAAAGTGCCATACAATGTGTTTGGTGATGTGGCAGTTCATGCTTGAATAACTGGCCCTGTTCACACGATGTGAGAAGTAGAGTGAGCTTGGTGTGAGGCTGAAGTGTGATTGATGATATTTGATATGAGTTCTGATTGATAAAGATTATTGGTAGGTGAATGACCAGGGTGTGCTGAATTGATTAGTAGCTGAGGCTCATGATACACTTCATAGGGTATGTTATTTAAAGATGCATCCACAGTCCTTGAGCAGGGGCATGAGGCCAGTAAACTTCTAGTGACACTGCACCCGGATCCTTGGAGCTATTCTAGCATTGTCTTCCAAACTAATTGTTCCTATTCATTGTGCGTCTGAAGAACCTCCTGGTTCTTTGAGGATGTAAGAGGTCTCTCCATTTTATCTTCTTCAGCAGGACGCCTTATGCAAGAGTTTGAAAACTGATTGTCTGCACTTTTGCATGGTCAGCCATTCCTCAGTTTTTTTTTGTAGATAAGATTCCATTGCTGTCTGACTCCCAGCACCTACTCCAGCTATAATTCATCTCGCCGTTAAGACATTGTTAATGACAGTATCCCCCCACCCCCACTGCCAATATGTGCACCCCCTCTACAGATCGCTCAGCACTGACTATGCACAGTATTCATTAGTAAGCAGGCAATACAAAGTTGCCTTACCTCTTGCATTTCACTGTACAGCTGTGGGCAATTGTGCATCAAGGTCTCCATTCACATTTTTAGGGATTATCCAATCCAATCCCCACAAATTTCAGGAGGGGATGTTAGAGAAAGAAAGCAAAATCAAGATAAAAAAGAAAGGAAACTCATGGAGATGGAATAGATATAAATAGTAATGAGAATAATGGAGGATACTGAATGTAAATTTTAAGTTCCTATTTGGATTTCAGGAAATTACAATGAAAATATATGAAGCAAACCATGTTACAGATGAATCTAACAATGTTCTTGTCCTTGGTATTTTAGAATGAATTAAAATAAATTCCTTGTGTTTTCAGTCAATACAACTACTGTATAAAGCATCTTACATTGTGCAATGGCAATAGTTTTGTGACCTTGCCAAGAGTAAGCTCTCAATTATTTGACTGCTGTAGGGTATTTGGTAGAAAATGGAAGATTCCACTGGGGTTTGCCAGTTTTGCAGAAGGAGATAAGCCTGTTCTGTGTTAATTATCCTCTTATGAAGAGCTGCTGTGCTTGACTAAGTCTTGTCTTTCTGCTAGATGTTTTAACTCTTTTGTTCCAATTGTCTGGGTTGTTTTTCACGTTTAAAGGCAGACTGTATACATTTTACTAGAAATAGTCATATCCCTCCTCATTTTATTATTCCTATTTACTTTGGAATTGGCCTACCTGGAGTTAAGTTTATGCATGGTGTCCCCATTTGTTTTACAAATTCAATAATTTCTGTAATCAATACAGTTTCACATGTTGTGCTACATATACAGGGTCAGTGGGTTAACCAGAGAGGTGGGTGAGAGAGAGGTGGTGAGCAGGGGATGACTGGATGTCTCAATAGAGGCCCAGTCCCTGCCAGGATGTAGATCACTTCTTGAGACAACAGGAATTAGGGCTTTGTGGACTGGGTAAGGGTTTGAAGGCCTTAAAGGAAGGGCTGCTGAGGGTGGATCTTCCAATCACAGGGACCTGTCAGGTAGGGCAGCCAGGGAGTAAATGTGAAGCTACTTACTTTCTGATTCAACCAAACACTCCCTATGGCCCTGAAAGCCTGGTCATTGACAATAAGAGTTGAAATGTTGTGTTTAAATGAGACTTACAATCTCACAATCATTTTAAAATGGTAGCTGTCATTGGATTTGCAAAGGACTTGACCTCTGACACTTTCAGCTCCACGTCAAACATTCAGCTTAGGCTGTCAATTATTAAGCCAATTTTAAATTCTTCTACTCCCTCTTACCCCATGACACGAACATCGCCAGCTCAATGAAGATCCTCAGAAGGGGAAACAATCCAAACATTTATAATTCTTTTGTCATTTTTTGACCATCGTTCCATGCCCAGAATTTTGAAAAGAATTTCATTTAAATGTAGTGCTTTTAAAACAATGTATAATAATGCAAGTTTAAATAATTCATTGAGATGAAAGATGACTAAAGTGCTTATGGGCTTAGCATTGAGATCGTTGCTGTAAAGACAATAAGTAATAAATAAATTACAAGACCGGCTTCCTAATAACCTGAGCATCCATTGCATTGGAAAGTCCCAGGGGATGTTCCTTCTAATTATTTTTAAGTGCCTGGGTGATTTTTTTGGGTGCGTATTGCCTTTGGATATTTTGTAGTCATGTGATGTGGTCATTTAAAGGGACTGACTTGTGTAGGGCCTGCTGGGTAGACACATAGTCAGGCAACTGCACATGTTTTGGGAGACATTGGCCTAGGTCCTGCAAACATTTGTCAGGGGCAGTCTGGAACAGATCCTTCTCTTGCCAAAGGCTGGAGGTTCATATCGATAGCCATTTTTTAAAATGAACAATTGAAAGCTGGCAGATGAAGCTCAATGCAAAAAAGTGAGAGGTGGTATATTTTGGAAGAACGAACACAGAGAGACAATATAAAACAATGGGGGTTACTACTCTAAACGGTTTGCAGGAGCAGAGTTACCTGGGTGTGCATATGTCATTAAAGGTGGCAGGATAGGTAGAGAACACAGTTAATAAAGCACACAACATGATAGGCTCCATTGATAAGGTACAAGAACAGAGCAGTTACGCTGAACCTATACAGGGCATTGCTTAGGCCTCAACTGGAGTGCAGTTATAGGTATCTCACTTTAGGAAGGATATGAGTGCATCAGAGAGATTGCAGTGGAGGTTTACATCTGGGGATGAGGCACTTCGCTGAGAACAGATTGGAGAAGTTAGGACTGTTTAACTTGGCAAGGAGAAGACCTAAGAGGAGTCCTCAAAATTTATGAGGGGTCTGGATAGGATAGACGAAGTGAAACTGTTCTCCCTCATAAAAGAAACAAGAGAGTACAGATTTAAATTGATTTGCAGAAGAATTAAATGTGATTTGAGTTTGGAATGCACTGTCTGGAAGTGAGGTGGAGGCAGGTTCAGTTAAGGCATTAGAGTGGGCATTTCATGGTTATTTAAACAGAAATAATGCACAGGGTAATGGGGACAAGGTAGGAGAATAGCACTGAATCATGATGCTCGTTCAGAGAGCTGATACAGACATGATGGGCTGAAAGGCCTCTTCTGCAACAATACTGTGATTCTGTCAGCAGGCTCGGATGATAAAGATGAAGTAATGTTGCTTACCTTATGCAGAGGTGACCCAATAGTATGATGAAACATGTCAAACAAGAGTCTCTGCTTTAGATGCGCTCAGTGATGCTTCAGCAAATGCTACTCAAAGTTGGGTTGACTTTGCTCAGTTTTTGCCCACATTTCAACTCAAACTCATTTGCTTATTGCCAAATGTCAAATCTTCCGTGAACCAATGCAATTGGACAGTGTGCTGTAAAAATATTCCTTCGTATATTTAAGAGTGGCAATCTGGTGTTGTTTTATTAATAGAACTAAAGATGAGTTTACTATGAAATATTAGCGCTTTTATTTGAGTTGAGTGGCCTACTTTTAAGTAATGTTAATGAATCATTTACTCTAAACGTTGTTGACAGTATTTAGTTCATTCGAAAAATTAAAAAATATTTTTAAAAATTTCTGAAATGTGCCTATTAAATGAGCCAAGTCCTCAAAAGAAAAGTAATGGGACTGGATTTAATGTTGGCAATAGGGGTTTTAGACATAGTCTGCAAAACTATAAGATCCTTGCATCTCTTCCTTGGAGGAAGCCTGACTAAATTAAGTGCCTTAGAGGAATTCATTGACAAGCATCAGACCTCATTTAGCCTTTAGAACCCAGGATGGGATTCCCATTCTCCAAGAGCTGTTGGCCAATTAAAGACTGCCAGTAGCACCATGATCTAAGGATTTCACTCAGGATCATCACTGGATCCCCGGACACACGTGAGTGGGGCAGGATGAGAGTCAAAAGGAAGGGGTCAGGGAGAGAAGGTGACAGGCAGGAGGGAGTTGGAGGCAAGGATGTCACAGCTATTTGACCATTTTCCCCTCCCGCTAATTAACCTATTTACCCCCAGTATCAAAACGGCCTTCCGATAGAACCTATTTGTATGCCCTCCCCACCTCCAAAGAACC